CGGAAGAGCTGAAGGCCGCCTGGCTCTGTGGCAAAAAATGAAAAGAGCTTGAAGACGATGAGGCAGAAGACGACGAGGCAGAAGACGACGAGGCAGAAGAGCGACGACCAGAGTCTTCGGTTCTCGGCTGCAGCAGTGGGGTTGGGTGTGTTGGTGGCGCTGTGGTGCTACAGTCAAATCCTTTGGGTTTTGTCTGAGGTCCATTGATGTCCTTCGAAGTAATGTAAGGAAAAGAAGGAAAGCATGAAAAACACACAATGCGAGATGACCTTAAAAAATATCTCTTGCGACCCACCTGAGGGTCGCGACCCAGTCTTTGGGAAACAATGTGTTAGAGGAACAGGGTGTTACTTACAGCGGTGCCGACAAAATTAAGTAAAGCGCTCCAATAGTTTTTGACCACCGCGCCAACTGACGGGCATCCTTTCTGTGGGGTTGGCGCTCTCTGCTGGATGCACCTCACATTCTGAGTGTAGAAATCGAAGCTCTGTAGGAGAAGCAGGAGCCTTGCGCGTGGGGAAAACACAAATATCAACCACGCGTGCAGTAGAATGACATGTCAACAGTAGGGTGGGCGGATACCTAGACGGACGTTCCTACCTGTCAATCACGAGTTCTAGTAGAACTACGCGGGAGTGTTGATTCGACGCACCGTCTCCGTCCACAAAGTCGTACTCGTCCAGCAGAGCCACCATGTCCAGGTGACAGGACAGTTTATCGGGGAACTTCCAGGAGGGAACACGAACGGGTCCGGTTCTCGAGAAAACATCCAGAACGGCACCTTGGAGGTCGACGAGATCTTTTTGAAGTCTTTCGATACAGTCCTGGTGATCCAGGAGCTGACTCATGACCGAGGGTCGAGAAGTGCGAGCGCGTCCCGCTTGTTGCTACACATCTCCGTGGAAACTAACGCTAGAATACGGTACTACAACACCCGTCGTGCTTTGCGGCGTGTTACCGGAAGTGATACGCGTCCATTAGGTCAACGACACCGCGACGCTGTGAGTAGCGCTACGGTCTTTTCGTGACTAAAATGTCTACATGTACCACACTCTAAGTTTTTTTTTAAAAACCCGCATATTTGTATTTAATCTACGTTTGTTTTGGGGAGGTAGGTTTTGCAAGTCACTTCCGGTTTTCCACAAAGACGCCGCCATGCCGCCCAGGCCTGTTCAAATAGTTCAACCAGAGCCGAACAACAAGGTAAAGTCCTCGTTTCAGGTTAACTACTGCTAGTAATGCCGACGTACCCGTTAAATTGGAGGTAAAAGATTCATATCGTTAAATAAATTAATAAATATACACGCTAGAAGTTACGTATAACATAGCACAACGGGCCAAACGTTTATTTTGTTAGCATTCAGCTAACGCCGCCGCCCCGCTGCTGTTTACGGCTATAAGCTAACGTTCATTGGAAGGTTCGCGGTTTTGTTGCCTTTTATTTCCAGTTACATGTTTAGAATATTTTAAAGCTCACATTTAACCAGTAGACCATAAACAATAGCTGTTTTTATTCTAACAACAGATTTATTACTAAATTATTATATAAAAAGCTATTTCCGGTGCCGGCGACTTCTGGTTTATTACGTGTTTATTTATTGTTTATGCACTGGGTTTAATGTCACCCCGGTGCCATTATGGTTCCCAAAATGGCGGGTATGGCTCTTCTGTAGCAAATGTTAAGAAAAAGATTCTTAATTAAGCTATATATTATATAAGTTATTATTTTAGCGTATGATTTATAATTTATTTTACTCGCAGGTCTGAAAGGTGCGTTTTGTTTTTGTGTTTTTTTATTTTGGACAGAATGACATAGCAACCCCAGAAGAAACCCCAGCCACCAAGCCCATCGTCGGCATCATATACCCACCACCGGAGGTCCGCAACATAGTTGACAAGACCGCTAGCTTTGTCGCCAGGTTGGTTGTAATCTTTTTTTTTCACCCTGGTTTTCTGTTTATGATGCAAGTTTGTTTTAAACAAAGCTAAGTTCTCGTTTCACAGAAATGGACCGGAGTTTGAGGCGAGAATTCGTCAAAATGAAATCAACAATCCGAAATTCAATTTCCTCAATCCCAACGACCCCTACCATGCCTACTACCGCCACAAGGTCAATGAATTTAAGGAGGGCAAAGCGCAGGAACCGTCCGCGGCCGTGCCTAAAGTCATGCAGCAGACCATGCTGCAGTCCCAGCAGCTGCCTCAAAAGGTAATACGAATACACTTCTAAATACACGTTTAGATCAAACTGACCACCGGGGGACTGTATACACTGATTATGATTGATGTTCTTGACAGGTGCAGTCGCAGGTCATCCAGGAGACGGTCATTCCTAAAGAGCCTCCGGCTGAGTTCGAGTTCATCGCCGACCCTCCGTCAATTTCCGCCTTCGACCTGGACGTTGTCAAACTCACCGCTCAGTTCGTCGCTCGCAACGGCCGACAGTTTCTCACTCAGCTAATGCAGAAAGAGCAGCGGAACTACCAGTTTGACTTTCTGAGGCCGCAGCACAGTCTTTTCAACTACTTCACCAAACTGGTGGAACAGTACACTAAGGTGACCCTTTTTAAAAACGTCCCTCTGATTCGGTTATCCTCTGTGTTTACGAGTCCAAGCCTAACCGTGTCTCGGTCTTGTCCACCTCTAGATACTCATTCCTCCCAAAGGCCTTTTGGTCAAGCTGAAGAAAGAGTCGGAGAATGCAAAAGAGGTCATGGACCAGGTAAATGATGACTTGGATTTAGGGATGTCTGATAACGTTGACTGACCGATATTAGCATAATTATGTAATATCTGTTATCGTTTTTTTCACAAATAATGAAAACCCCATAATGCGATGCCTGGGTTTCGCCAAATGATGTAGCCTAAAAATTATTCTTGCGAAAAAACGACTGTATATGAAAGAAAAAACCACTAGATGGTAGCATTGCAGCTCATTTTGCAGCTGGGTCGGGTATAACGGTATCCATTTGGGATCGGAATCGGAAATTAAGTGTTTGTACCATATCGGATATTGGCAAAAAGTTAATATCGTCAATTCATTAATCACGATATTTCACCACCAGGTACGATACCGAGTGGAGTGGGCAAAGTACCAGGAGCGTGAACGAAAGAAGGAAGAGGAGGAACGAGAGAAGGAGAGGGTGGCCTATGCTCAGATTGACTGGCACGATTTTGTCGTTGTGGAAACCGTGGACTTCCAGCCCAATGAACAAGGTCACTTTTGTTTTGCACTCAATTTGTATCTTTGGATCTACCCGTCTAAATATTGCCACAACGGAACAATCTAAATTTCCACCCGTCCGTCCGTCTTCCCCAGGTCACTTCCCACCACCAACCACACCAGAGGAGCTCGGCGCTCGTATCCTGATCCAGGAGCGCTACGAAAAGTACGGCGAGAGTGAGGAGGTGGAGATGGAGGTTGAGAGTGAAGACGAAGAGGACGAGAGAGAGCGCCGGGACCACTGCCAGCCCTCGCAGCCTGACCAGGACACTCAGGTTCAGGACATGGATGAGGTAGGAAGTCGTAGACGTGGTCAACATTCCACTGGTGTCGTGACAACAGCGGACCGTGTCAATAACACACGTGGTGAACTTTTCTTCTTCAGGGATCCGATGATGAGGACATGGGCATCAAAGCTCCTCTGCCGCCCGACAACCCGATGCCACCTCCACTGCCTCCAACTCCAGACCAGGTCATCATTCGCAAGGACTACGACCCCAAAGGTGACATTTTTTTTATCGCTTACCACCGCATGCCATGAGAAGATCAACTAATTTCTCTTCCGTCTCTCCTTCCAGCTTCTAGACCTCCGCCTTCAGTGGCAGTTCCTGACGAGTACCTCATCTCACCCATCACCGGCGAGAAGATCCCAGCCAGTAAGATGCAGGAGCACATGCGTATTGGTCTGCTGGATCCACGCTGGCTGGAGCAGAGGGACCGCGTCATCAAGGAGCGGCAAATCGAGGACGAGGTCTACGCTCCCGGGTTGGACATCGAGAGCAGTCTGAAGCAACTGGCCGAGAGGCGTACCGATATCTTCGGTGTGGAAGAGACCGCCATCGGTAAAAAGATTGGTGAAGAAGAGATCCAGAAGCCCGAGGAAAAGGTGAGGGCGACCGAGCTTCTTCTAGGGACCGAGTCGAAGAAATGAAGCGAGGCCCGTGATATTTTAAAAATAAAAAAAAGACTTTTATCCAGTAAGTGTCTTACAAGAGGAGTATGTGGTTCTTCTGAGAATCGAACCCGGGACTCTCTGCTTCCGAGGTTAGCTGGCGTGCTAACCGCTACATACTGCACCGCACGTCATGACCGTTCATAAAAAAAGTTCATCCGTTGTGTTTGACCGTACAGAGACCGCACATGTCTTGGAATACGTGATATCACCAAAATGAACTGTTAACGACTACGATAACCTGAGATGTTTTTTTTTATTGGTCAACAAAGCAAGTTGAGGGAGGCTAAAGCGGTGGGGGGGCAGATCGTAATTTGTGTTCACACAGAAGTAAGTTTTGATTTTTCCTTAAAGGTAACCTGGGATGGCCATTCTGGGAGCATGGCTCGTACCCAGCAGGCAGCGCAGGCTAACATCACGCTGCAGGAGCAGATCGAAGCCATCCACAAAGCCAAAGGCCTGGTGGGAGAAGACGACACCAAGGAGAAAATCGGACCCAGCAAACCCAGCGATATTCACCATCAGCCTCCCATCCCATCCTCGGCTTCCAGTTTACCCAAACCCAGTCCCCCCATCACCACGATGCCCCGCCCACCGATGACTGTGAGTTCACGGTCTCCAATCTGTTTAGAATGCCCTTCTCGCGGTGTACGCGTATACCCATAATGCACTTGTGTCCTCCAGCCGATGCCGCCACCAGTGCGCACCACTCTCCTGTCTGCTGTCCCTGTGATTCCACGGCCGCCCGTGGCCCCCGTCGTCCGCCTTGCACCGGGACAGGTCTTGGCGCAAGTGCCTCCCATGATCTCCGCCCCACGCATCAACGTGGTTCCCATGCCGCCGACAGCACCGCATATCATGGCTCCGAGACCGCCGCCCATGGTTGTTCCAGCTGGTAGGACACTTTGTTGATATTTTTTAAATGTGCAAAACAAAATTGTTTTTAGTAATAAAATGACCTTTTTTTGTCTCTTTTTAGCATTTGTCCCAGCGCCACCAGTACCTCAGCCACCCAGTGCTCCGGCGCCACCTGCCCACCCACCTCCACCTCATGACGACGAGCCAGTCAACAAGAAGATGAAGACAGAAGACAACCTGTTGCCAGAGGAGGAGTTCCTGCGCAGGAATAAGGTTTGAAAAAGCAAAAATAATTAAGAAAACATTTTATAGTACGGTAGTCCCTCGCTATTTCGCGACTCATCATTCGTGGATTCACGACTTTGCGTGTTTTTGAAAACTATATATAAAATATACTGTATCCTGGATTTGGATCTGCGAGAGATGTCACAGGAATGGGGACGACGATACAGTTCGATCGGTCCAGTTTCGCGATAAAATGGACGACATCGCAACTGCCTACAAGCTACTCTTCGACTGGAAAAAGAAGCAGCGGAAGCAACTGCGGATCGGAATGTTTCTGCAGCCTTGCAAAAAAAGAGCCGGTTCCTGCTACTACTACGGATACAGTGGAAGAGGTGCCCCAAAAATGGCACCACCCTGTGGAGAGACGTGAAAGTCATCATCATTTTACTGAGCATAAATATGGTGTCACTACTTCAGTTTTCGCGGCAGGGCCTCGGAACCTATCTACCGCGATAAACGAGGGACGGCTGTATTGTCGTACTTTTACTCGTCGTTTACTTGTCGTATCAAATATCCGCTGTTCAAATGTCCATTTTCGTCTTTTTTTCAGGGTCCTGTGGCGGTTAAAGTACAAGTTCCCAACATGCAGGACAAGACGGAATGGAAGCTAAGCGGCCAGGTTCTGAATTTTACCGTCCCGCTCACCGACCAGGTGTGTGAATATCTAACCGTAATAGTCTTTCTTGACTCTCAATCTCTGGCGCCCCCTTCGCTCTGCTCCGTGTTCTGATCAATGAGTCAACATTTGCTCTGTGTCAACAGGTGTCTGTTATTAAAGTCAAAATCCACGAAGCCACAGGGATGCCAGCTGGAAAACAGAAGTTACAGTATGAGGTAAGCCAAGTCCTTCTAAGTCCAAGTCAGTAGATAATATAGACTCACAAAAGGGTCTTTGATGGAGAAATAGGGACACCTAGGAGGTCAACTGAGGTAATGCAGGGGAAGATTTTTATTTTTTGTTTTTTGTTTAAATCGGTGTTTTCTAACTTTTGGAGCCATGATATATTTTATAGAAAAACTTTACAGCACATGTATATGTTAGGGTTGCCTGCTCTAACTTTTCATCAATTTGGAGATCCTTGTACTGGAAACTGTTGAAGACCCCTGACTTTAACCGATGTGTTTCCTAACCTTTTCTGAGTACGGCACATATAAAAAATCTCACAAAAAATATGTAAAGAAATAAAGTAATCTTCTAGTTTAAATGACCTCATAATTGACTAAAATCTCTGGCCTGTTTAGTTGAAGTCGACGCTGATATACTGGCATGAATTGAAGAAATTATTTTTATTTTTTTACTAATTTAAATTTTTATTTATTTATTTATTTATTTCATTACAGGGAATTTTCATCAAAGATTCCAACTCGCTGGCTTATTACAACATGAACAACGGCTCAGTCATCCACCTGGCCCTGAAGGAGAGAGGAGGAAGGAGGAAGTGAGACGAGCAGCAAGACAAGAAAAAAAAAACTGCTTCTCCTGCTGGTGGATTTTATCGCTTAATACTACGTTAGTACGACCGTTGTCGACTGCATTTAGCTTCACGGCTGTTTATCGTCTATTACATGCTTAGCCTGTTTCCTCAAGATGCTAATAAAACCGCGTGCTCACGGAAAAGTATGTTGATGACAAACTTTAATTTGTTGAAGATGGAGAAACTGACTGTATCGACATGTGTTATTAAAATAGTTTCAATAAAAAAAAATATGATTTTTATGTCTTCCATTTATAGACCTGAAGATGGCGCAGTAGATGCTGAAATGTTATTGGTAGTGATGCATTAAGAACAGGGGGGGGCTAAGGTTTAACTTTGACATGATTGGGGCGGAGTTGGACATTAATTCATCAGTTTCTACGTTTGTTTATGTTACGTTAATTAAGTAAAGTTTGTAGTAAAATTAAATCTCTTGTTGTTTCACCTTAAATCTGACATTAAAATCTAATCATTTTTATTTTTGATTTCTGAAAATTTTCTATTATTTAAAGGCATCCAAAGCTGGCTTTGACTCTAGCGACCCCTCGCGGCCGAGGGAATAAGCGGTAGATAATGGATGGAATTTTTTTTCTTTCTGAAATCGGACGTTAAATATAAAATTTAGTTTTCACTTAGCTCAACGGAGCTCTTAAAGGGACATGGGAAAATAAAAAAGTTTCTGGTGCTCGGCCGAAGTAATTTTTTAAGTTTTTTTTTTAAATTTAATTTTAATTTTTTTAAAAGTTTTTTAAAATTTTTTTAGTTTATTTATTTATTTTTAACATTTTTTTTTTACGGCCGAATTCTGAGAATAAAGTTCGATTTTTACTGGACTTGTATAATTAGGATCAGATTTCCCTGTGTATTTCGTTATAATTATAAAAATTGTGAAATAAAAAAAATACATATCAGACCTTAACAAGGAATACGATTTATTCATTTATTTTTGGTTTAGAGTCACGCAAAGTTTATTATTTGTAATGTAATAATCCACATTTCAAACATTAAAAAAAAAACTGTCTCCGAGTGAAACCACTAGGGGGAGTGAAGGATAGACAGTGTTGAAAACAGCCTAGGGCGACACTGAGTCTCTCAGTAGCCCGGGATCAGCAGACTTCTATGGGATGATTTGACAACAGAGACTCCATCGGTTGGATTTATTTATTTTTTAAACAATAACTTACTGTCATATGTAGTTGCTGAATATAAAGGCAACTTAAAGAGCATTGCCGAAATCTTTTTTTTTTTAGTTAAATGCTAAGCGCGTTAGCAGTTTATGATTAACGAGATAACCCTTTGCTTTTGTGAAAAAGTTCGCCTTTTTTTCCCAGCTGACTGATACAAACGTCGTCCTGTCGTGGCGAACCATATGATAGCATTTGCTTAAAAAGTAAAAAAAAAAAAAAAAAAAGTAAAAATTGAATGCGGAGATACAATGACGTCGTTGCGGTTTGATCGAGCAGCGTATGCGGGGGAGCAGCACTTTTGACGGTCGGCTGTCAACGAGCTCGCTTGCCTTAGCTGAACGCTGGCTAGGCGGCTAGCCGTGTGTCTCCGTTTCTATGGCCAAAATAGAAAACGGCCGCGAGTCCGTGGACACCCGGAGTATCCGAACCGTCAGCAGCAGCCACATAGACGACGAGAGCTCCCTGGGCTCCGACTCCGAGATCAACGGCTTCACCAGCGATAGACGAACGGACAAATATGGATTCATCGGCGGAGCGCAGCAGTACTCGGAGGAGTCGTAAGTTCAAACTTCAGCAACTTTTTTTTTCGACAGACAAATTAAAATACTACATTTTAGACAACGGCCATTTTGGAAATTATCTTTATTTGTGTTGTGTTTTGTTAACGTAGTTTCGTAACGACGTAGAACTCCCGGAGTTAGTGTTGTTGTCGTGGTGGTGTCGCTGCCTCTCCCCAACCAGCTGCGTGGCACCCGGGGTTTCTACATCTGCCCATGGTCTGACTCAGTCAGACAGTCCGTGGTCAACAATATAATATAAACACACCCTTGGGTTTACTGTTTCCTCCCGTGTCACGCTAAAGTTCTTTTATTTCGTCGCTGCTAGCTAACGTACACCTAGCTATACTACTGAAACAACTCAGCGGCAGTCAAATTTAACCGAATTAGCTAAAAGTTTCCCCAAGTATTTGCTAAAAGTTTTTTTTTAAAAAGTCACCAAAACGTAAATTTATTTTAGAAAAAGTTAGACATAACGTGTGGAAGGGAGAGTTAATGCTTAAATTATTTAGCATAACGAGCTAAAAGGTTAGCAGTTAGCAGACAACATAAAACACCGAACACAAACATTTAGCTAGCTAAACACGACAGCAGACACGGATAATTACAGAGAAAAAAAAGTTAATATTTGATGACAGTTGCCTGACAATAATTTAAAAGATGCTTATAAGACATTTTTATCAGATTTTTTTCATTTTGACAACAATTAAAACCGTTAATTCTATGGGGAAAAACTCTTTGCTAGACGAGTCCAGATGCTACATTTGACCGTTGACAACATCGACATTAAAATTACCCATAATGACGTCGTTAGTTGACTAGTCATTATTAGCTTAATTAAAACAATTATTTATTAAATTTTTTCCCCCTAAACATTACTTTTTACTGACAGCGCCGCCGCATGGTTTCCATTTAAAAGGGTTTAACCGAAACCCATTTTGGGTGTTTTTTGATCTCTCGCCTCACAGCTATAAAAAGCCTGTTCTGTGGGGCAAAAATAGTGATAGGAGGGTAAAAAGAAAAAAAAGTTGTGCCAGGCACTGCATGCTTCTCTGGGAGTGTCTGTGTTCTGAAGTTTTTGGCAGACTTCGAGGCCACAGCCCTGGCACCCTGGTTTCTTTTGGCTTCAAATTTTTTTATTTTTTTTTCTCTGTTTGACTCAGGGGTTTAACTTTTCTAGCTTTATCTGGAAGTGAAAGCTACTAATTACTGTTTTGGGGGGTCCTTCGGAATCACTAAAAGTCTAATAATGCTGCTGCGACGTACAACGTACTACTTTTTTTTTTTAAATCAAAGAACACTTTGAAGCCAGTTGACCCTGCAATTACAGCTTTCTGCCAGCGACATAATTACACGGCAAGTTAAAGTGCTTTAGAGCTCGTTCTGCAGAAGAACGTCACAGCTTTGATTAAAAAAAAAAAAAAATTCAACACAACGATGAAACCATAATTTCATCGTTGGTGAAACCAACCTTTGTTTGTTGGTTTCATCGTCTACTAAACACACGCCCATGTAAAAAAAACAAACGGCGTTTTACGTTTTCACTTCGTACAATTGTTTAAACCGCTAATGTCTAATTGCTAATCTGTTTTTTTTCTCTTTTGTCCATTCCAAATGTCCAGAGCTCAGGACGTCCCTCCGGCCGTGCTCAGACAGAGGGAGCTCAAATGGCTGGACATGCTCAACCACTGGGACAGGTGGATAATCAAGAGATTCGACAAGGTTAGCGGCACGCTAACAGACGGCGGTTTGATACCGCGTCACAGCAGTTAGCATAGTTTGATGTAGCAGATATGCCCCCTCCGCAGTCCTGACCCGGTGCTGTTGGGGCAGGAATAGACAAGATAACTGGTATTTATCAAGCTATCGCTTGCACGACTACGAGACGGCGGCGAAGACGCTGCGTTTATTATGGCCGCTTACTCGTCAAACTAGTTCAGCCCTGATTTTTTTTCATGAGCAATTAAAATAAATATATAAATATTTAAATATATATATTAAATCTCTTGAACTACTTTAGCACCAATACATTTGTTGAATCATATGTCATACAGCTACAGCTATTTAATCAATATATGATATATATATATATATATATATATATATATATATATTCAGCTTATATGGCTAAATATATATAAATATATTAGATATATATAAATATATAAAACTCTTTGTGACACATTGAAAAGTCTCACTCTCAGGGCGGGGTTGCGTTGACTTCCTGTACCGGGACTTGAGTGAAGTCGAGGTGTCGGTTTCTGTGTTCCAGAAAAATCCACTGAAAGTGAAAAGTTTTTTTTTTTTTTTTTTTCTGCTTAATCGTTTTTTTTCTGTGCGACTTGTGACTTTCACGGTTGATTATGAACGGTTCTATTTTTGGACCCTTGCAAAGTTGTTCACGTATAGTTGTGTACAAATCATCCTTTACTGATCCGAAAATATTCTTTTAGAAGAGTTTTATATATTTATATGTATATATTTAATAATATATCTATATATATTTAATAATATATTTATATATATTTAGCCATATGAGCTGAATATATTTTATATATATATCATATATTGATTAAATAGCTGTAGCTGTACGACAATATGATTTAACAGTTGTATTGGTGCTAAGCTAGTTAAAGAAATATATTTAAAAAAATCTTAATTTAAAAAAAAATTAATTTTAATTGATTTTAATCATGAACTACGAACACTCCCTTTACGATCTACTGGTTGACACCGGTCTACTTTAACAATTTTTCTGTGAACACAGAAACACAATAGATTGAAACTTTTGACGATATAATGAAGTATCACGATCATCATATTGCGATACTACAGGACACACTCTATATTCACCCAGGACACACTCTATTTACCACCCTTCCATTAGGCAGACTTAGGGTTCTAAAAACCCGTACCAACCGGATGAAGAACAGTTTCTTCCCCACGGCGGTAAAGAGGCTTCTGCAGGACCCATAGCGCCATCTCATTCCACAACTGCACACACACACCATCTACTACCTCCTATCCAAAGGGACAGTTGCAATAACCTGATGCACAGATCACTTTTATAAATTAATATTTTACTTGAATACTGTCATAACTACTGTTTCACTTTTTATATTCTGTCTTATATGCTATTTATTAGCTATTTATATTTATTTATACAGATTTTTTTTTTAATTCTTATGTCAAGCTGCTACTACGGTGAGAGATGCCAAACGAAATTTCGTTGTATTATGTACAATGACAATAAAGCTTCTTCTTCTACAGGCACGACGATATATTGAATATATTGTTCTCTTTGCCAGTTTTGAAAGTGATTTTCTTTTTTGATAAACCCTGAAATAAAACTATTGGCAAGAATCTGGCGATATGATACGTATCACGATACAGGATCAACCGTACGATATATTGCGATATATTGCCATACTATAGGGACGACGATACTGTATATTGAGGTGTTTTTTTTTTTTTTTTTTCTGATACG